GGGATGAGATGCGCACTTTCTTTTCATCCTACCCTTGGGGCCAGGTTTGCTTCTCGCATAATGATCCCAACGTCGCTGCCGATTCTGTCGCCGATGTTGTCCTTCAGGGTATGGAACTTTTTGTTCCTTCCTCTGTGGTTCCCATTGGTGGCAAATCCCAGCCTTGGTTTGGTCACTGCTGTAAACTGGCATCTCGCCAAAAACAGATGTGTTTGTTATCAGGCCTGGGCAAACGCAGCGGCGATCGGGGATAACAACACTAGCGATCTCAAAAAGAAGTATAACTTGGCCTCCAGCTCCTGCAAAAGAGTAATTGCCAGAGCGAAGTCGGAGCACATTAGCAGCATTGGCGAGAGATTAATAAAACTTCCCTCTGGAACACGCGCGTTTTGGTCTCTTGCCAAGGCTGTTGAAGGAAATTTCTGTAAGCCATCCCTTCCACCCCTGCACAATGGCGACGAATCGATGGCCCATAATGCAAAAGAGAAAGCGGATCTTTTATGCTCACTCTTTGCGTCTAACTCGACTCTAAATGACAGGGGATACATACCGCCGACCATCCCGCGGTGTGAGAGCTCTATGCCGGAGATCCGGTCCACACAAAGCTTAGTGCGTAAAGCACTCTTTTCCCTTGTCATCCACAAGTCGAGCGGGCCTGATGGAATCTCACCAATTGTGCTGAAGACGTGTGCTCCTGAGTTGGCTCCGGTACTAACGCGTCTTTTCCGGCTCTCCTACTCTTTAGGTGTCGTTCCGAACTCATGGAAGACAGCTTTAGTGCACCCGATTCCTAAAAAAGGCGACCGCTCACTCCCTACTAATTATAGGCCTATAGCCATCACCTCCTTGTTCTCCAAGATAATGGAGTCCATTATAAATTGCCAGCTCCTGCAGTACCTAGAAGACCACCAGCTGATCAGTGACCACCAGTACGGTTTCCGTCAGAGTCGCTCGGCTGGTGATCTACTAGTATACCTGACCCATCGTTGGGTAAAGGCGATCGAGACCAAGGGGGAAGCATTGGCGGTCGGTCTCGATATCGCGAAGGCCTTCGATCGGGTTTGGCACAGAGCGCTTATTTCGAAGCTTCCTTCTTATGGGCTTCCTGAAAAGCTGTGCGTTTGGATCACTGCTGATCAGCTTTCTTGCGGACAGGAGCATCAAGGTCGCAGTCGACGGTGCATGCTCGGACTCCAAATCCGTAAACGCTGGTGTTCCACAAGGCTGTGTGCTATCGCCTACACTGTTTCTACTTCATATCAATGATATGCTTCAAATTGATGGCATTCATTGCTATGCAGACGACAGCACGGGTGATAACCTATATACCGGCCGCGCCAACATTTCACGGGAAAACGTCATCGAGTGCCGGAACAAACTTGTGTCTGAAGTCGAAACTTTGTTAAAACCGAGTAACGAATTGGGGCCGACTTAATCTAGTCCAATTTAACCCTACGAAGACACAAGTATGCGCGTTCACCGCAAAAAAAAATACCATTTGTCGTATCTCCTCTTTTTGAGAACACTCCTCTAACTGCCTCAGATAGTATTGGAATTCTTGGCGTTGAGATATCGAGCGACGTCCAGTTTCGGGATCATTTAGAGGGCAAGGCCAAATTGGCCTCTAAGAAGCTTGGTGTGCTCAATAGATTGATAATGTACTTCACACCGGTCCACCGACTGCAGCTTTATAAGGCATAGGTTCGGCCTCACATGGAGTACTGCTCTCATCTTTGGGCGGGGGCACCCCAGTACCAGCTTCTCCCTTTGGATCGCATCCAGCGCCGAGCGGCTCGAATCGTCGACGACCAGGACCTTTCCGATCAGCTTGATCCTTTGGCTTTGCGTAGGGATGTAGCTTCGCTCTGCAACTTCTATCGCATTTATCACGGGGAGTGTTCTGAGGAATTGTTCGGATTAATTCCAGCTGCTGCATTTCGCCATCGTACATCGCGACAAAAATTTCATCCCCATCATCTTGATACGTGGCTATCGACAACCGTGCGTTTTTGTCGAAATTTTTTACCACGTACGACAAAACTGTGGAATATGTTTTCGCCAGCAGTGTTTCCGGACCAATACGACCCAAGAACCTTCAAACCAAAAAAACGTAATATGTAAACATTTGTTTTTTTTACTACTTTTATTGCCAGTACAAAGATATATAAACCGACTCTAAGGGGAACCAAAACAGGGGATGATTGATTGTTCACTCACCGATTGTAATTTATCACCCTTCATAACTTTTTACTGAGTAGTCCGATTTTGATGATTCTTTTTTTATTGGATCTGGTATACCTTAAAGTTGGTCCCAGATAAATTAAGAAACTAAAATCATACCCTTACATTGGGAACATAGGGGTGGTTGTTCACTCACAGATGTTGATGCCGAGTGTTATCGACACAAAAAAATGTAAAATAAAACTTTTTCACAAAATGAATTTACCGTCGATTGTCAAAAAAATATTACTAAATTGTTTTAGGGTTCCGTAGCCAAATGGAAAAACGGAACCTTTATAGATTCGTCATGTCCGGCCGTCCGTATGTCACAGCCACTTTTTCCGAAACTATAATGTTGAAACTTGGTAAGTAGATGTATTCTGTGAACCGCATTAAGAAAATTTTGGAGGTTCCCCATACTTAGAACTGAAACTCAAAGATTTTCTTTCATCAAACCCATACGTGTGGGGTATCTATGGATAGGTCTTCAAAAATGATATTGGGGTTTGTAATATTTTTTTTTTCTAAATTAAATAGTTTACGCGAGAGACATTTCCAAAGTGGTAAAATGTGTACGCCTCCTGTAATTTCTAAAATAAGAGAATGATAAATCTAAAAAAAATATATAATGTACATTACCATGCAATCTTCCACCGAAATTTGGTTTGAAGGAGATCTAGTAAGTAGTTTTTTTTAATACGTCATAAATCGTAAACCGCTAAATTTACCTTTCATTCAATCAACTCAAACATTTAGTAAACATAAACGTTATGCAAAAACCGTGAACCATTATTTTCTAATAATAAATCTGTAATAGGTGCAAAAAATAAATAAATAATAAATATAATTCGCGCGGGGTGTGGCTTAATCGGTAGCGGGTCAGAGCGCGCGGGGGGCAGGTTTTATATTATGTTACTTGCTGCTATGGAACCCTTCATGAGAGAGTCCGACTCGCACTTGGCCGCTTTTTTATTTTTAGTCAAATTAATATTTAGAGTCGGTGTTGTGTTTGTCTGATAGATCTGAATTTTTATTTACTACTTGGGTTGACATTGCACCGACTCCAGATATTAATTTGACTAATGGTTAAACTTGTACTTTTTTCGGTGGTTTAATTTTTTCTGTAAAAAGTTTTTATGATAATTATTTACTATTATACAAGACAGGTACATTTATATCATCACTATTATCAGTAAATTGATGTCTCCACTGCTGGAGCACAGGCCTTCCCAATGGATAAAATAGGCAAATCGGGACATGATCACACGGGCCAAGTACGGTTCTCCAGATGCTAACGATTGCAAATGCAGTCGGAACTAATTGTTTAACGTTCTGACCAATATGCCGAAATTGTTAATAACCAATATTAATACGCTACACTGGAGAGTCAGTTTTTCTCACAAGTGAAAACCATTGCAATCATCGACTTTGCTGCGTCTGAGTTAATATTTCCACGAAATATCCTATATTATTATACGATATAACTCAATTATGATATGCTTGTAAGAATAGCTCCCTCGTAATTTTTTGGCGTGATAAAGATTGTATGTAAGATAGGCAATCTCAGTTTTATACATTATTAAATCACTTATTTTCAAAATGTTATCATTGGGTAAAAGCTTTTGTAGTTATACTTACAGGTAACAAAAGTGTTATGATAGCATTTGTTGTTAACAGTTCGCCGAAACTTGATCTTCATCGTCCGTTTACGTAGTGGTTAATCATGTGAGAAATCGCACGTCATGTTATGGCTTTGATTTTAAAATGGAAGTCCAATGCTATGGCCTAAATGACAACTACGCATTTAAATTTTTAAATTCAGTAGTTATCAGTTGTTTTGAAAAAATAATTCGTTAAAAGTCGCTGGAGATAATTTTGTATTGACACTTCATTTAGAATTTAAATGTGAAAGTTGTATGTGAAGAATTTAAATGTATGTTTGTTACGTAATCAAGCAAAAACCGATTTGGATATAATTTGGCAAGCAGAAAATGTGTATGCCGGTCTTTTACCTCTTCACGCTTAAACATGTGAACCGATTTAGATGAAATTTGGTATAAATATAATGTTGGTATAGAGGATTCCCAAGAAATGACTCAATATGTAGGTTTTTATCTCAGAAATCATTATTTCAGAGAATAAAAAGGGATGTGGCAGTTGGAATGCGAAATCAATCGAAGTATTCAGACGAAGTCTCTGGAATTCACTAGTAATAACAAAATTTGCTTTACCAACGACCAATTAGGTATATCATTTGAAAAATATTCGTATTCAGCTATCTGTTCTGCATTTTTTCTGTATGTAACAATAGTTAATAGTGGCAGTAAAGCATTATGTCACGTTAAGTAACAAAATACAAGTCGATTCCGTTGGACGATGCCTTTCGGTTCCGAGCATTGTTTAAAACGGTGGTCCATAATCTACTTTCTTTGTATTTGACTTCATTTTATGTAATTTGTTATGACTATGTTGTTATGACATTATGCATTGGCATTTGTTCTACATAACAGCAATCAATGCGAACTGTCTCCTAGCAATTGTGCTAATCACTGTATTGCATGTGATTCGCATCAACGTCAGTAATTAGATTTATTTATTCGGATAAATTGATTTATAATGCCGGTACACCTAAACAGGTGTTTCAGTTTCTAATTATAGTGTAACTAGTGTATGGATGAAAGAAGCTAGAAATTTAATTTGATTTCTAGCTACTTAAGAGTAATTGGTAAGCATTTCAATGGTACTTATACATGATTAATTTGTGGATACCTAATTTTCAGGTGGAGGGAGCATTAAGAAGTAGTAGGAGGCATCCAGCGCCGATCACATCTGACAGTCCTACAGAAACCAGTGAGGCTCCTGATGGAAAATACACAATCAGGCCCAGAACAAGCAGGAGGCGTGAAGAGGTTCCTGTGCGAGAGGTACGGACGAGAACGAGAAGTAGGATAGCAGATAAACCCGACACTTCTTCTGAAGCACCGAAAGGACGTAACGAACGATTTGATTCAAGAAGAACCCAAAGTCGATCACGAAGCCGAACTGTAGAAATCGATAAAACTACAGCGGCGACGACCAGAGTTAGAACGGTCCGAAGTCGAGGGAGACAAAATGTTCAAAGTCCTACGACCGCTGCACCTCCTGAAGTTTCTTCACCGACTATCGATGAAAGCAAAATTGAAGTTATCAATTCTAACCTTGAAGATCTAAAAAAAGCTTCACCAGCTGATGTAGTTACACCGATACCCGGTACCACAGATCAGTTGAAAAGAAAAAGTTTCGTAAATCCAACTCCCGAAAGACTAGTCTCACAAAGAGTACGTGGTCGAATCAGTACTCGACCAAATTCTAGGTCGCTCGATCTTGATGTTGCTGGAACCACGAATTCCTTGACGGATGCAGTAAAAGAACCAACAACAGTCCGATCAAATGATTTGAGAAATTCACGAAAATTAAGATACAGAACTCGACTATCAGAGACAGATACTAACTTAACTGGACAGGGTCTTAAGGCTCAAAACGATGTCATAAAATCTAGTCAGACTGAGAATAATGTTGCTAGTCAACCTGAGATGCAGGCGTCCGCTGCAGGAGTTGTAGAAAATAGTATTGTACAGCAAAGTACTGAAAGTTTATCAGAAAAGAGAAGTGGATCAAAAATAGTAAAAAGACGACCTTTGTCTCGAGGAAAAACTAACTTCAAGCCTTCTCAACCTATAACAAAACGAAGTGATGAAATTAGTGAAGACGATAACTATCCAGACAGTTTTAAAGCTTTGATCCAGGCAAAAAATGGATCAGTAAGTTAAAATATGTTAATTTATTTTATATCGCATATCTTTCCGATCCCATAATTCGAACCAATTGAATTTTATCAGAAAATAGTAACAAATATTTAAGTCATACAACAAATTGATTCCTAACAAACTTACCCGATTATTCGATTGACATTATCAAAAAAGCCGAGAGAGAATGCCTGCCAAGGATCTCTATAATTTCACCTACGTCATTAACGCAGAAGATTATATTTAAAATAATACTGGCTTTGTGGTTTGAATTAAACAAAAAATTAGAAGGAGCATCATTATATTATAATAATATATCGCAGACCGAATGAGCTAACTACTACGCCATCGAGCAACGATGTCAAGTAATATTATCAAGAAGATAATTATCTTTATAATATAAAAATGAATTCCTGTTTCCCTTAGTCACGGCGTAACTTTAGAACATTTTCTTTTACTTTTCTAACATTTTGTAGAAGGTTCTTAAGAAATAAATTTAAGAAAGTTGCGCAAAGAATTAGAACATCTCAGAAAACTTAACTGAACTTACAACTCTATCCGTAAGGTGAAGCTGCTATCGGGTTTTTAGGATTTTATAAATATTTTTATCAGGCATCTTCTGTCGGGTTCGCTAGTTATTGATAAAATATGAAATATGAACATGAGATATAAGGGATATATAAAAACATACATCATATAGCATGTATTTTCATAATTTTAGTATAAGCAACACACATTTCTTCAAATGTCTTTTTAGTGCTTTCAGTCTGACTTCAATTTATATTTTCCTGTATTTTTTCCTAAACACATAATTTTTTGTTTGAATTTTCACAAATATCCTAGGATTTGCCCTAGGGATTTTGCGAAAACGCGGATAATTAGACAATAGCGGTAAAATTTCTCAATCTTTCTGAAAAAGGTAATCTCAGTAAGATTACGAAAATAATCGTTGGATTATTATAAATAGGACTTCTGATTGGCCGGTCGAAGTACCCAAAACCACATCTTCTCTGATTGGTTGACGAATTGACATATTAAATGTCAATCCAACCTCGCGCTTTGTTTAAGTTGTGATTGCGTTTTATAAGCGAGTTTTTATTATTTAAAATGTTTAAGAGTGTAGAGTGTGTTTAAGACTTGAGAAATAGTGCGAAAACTGTAGAGGTGTGTCAGTAAGTAATGAGGTTATGTCCAATAAAAAAATATGCGACATAGAACTAAGAATATTTTACACTAATAGACAGGATGGAACAACTAAACCTGAATGGACTTAAGAATTGTGAATTCTTCAATAGAAGGATTTAATTCTGCGACAGCACTTAAACAACGAAAGCACAGTAACAGTATAGGTATGCAAAAAGATATGACATAAGGAGTGTAGGTGAGGAAAAACTTGCGACTATGAAAAGATAACATCATTCATCTGCTGTTATTCAAGTAAAAAGGTACTAATGATTATAATAATAAATATATTATTCTGCAAGCACTCATATCAAATTGACATAGAAGTTGAGACAAAATTCATTTCTAACCAATAGTGACAATAATACTCAAAGCTAAGAGTTGAGCAAAAATCAAGCCAATCAGAGTAAAGGATATTCTATGTTACTAACGCATATCACGTTTTCGCAAAAATCCTACCTTTTTTTAGAAAGACTGATAAATATTATCGCCAAAGTCTAATTATCCGAATTGTCAAATCATCCTACGACATATACAACATATGACTCAGCGTTAATAAAGGATACACATGAAAACAATTTTACATACTACATCAATTTTCAGACACAGGCGAGCTCTCCTCAAGGCGAGAGTTTGTCAGTGAAAGCATCACAAAAAGTTTACAAAACTTACACTGCATCTTTACAGTCCACTAACACAGGAAGTGGTTTAAACAAATACACAAGGGTAATATTACACTTTCTAAAAAATCTTTTCTCATTATATTTATCGTATTGTTTACTTTTATGTATTGGATATTTATACTAAATTATATGTACACTTACCTAGTCAGGTCAGAAATTCTGTCACATGTTTAATATAAAATAATTGAAACAAGTTTATTCATTATGTAACCATTTATATATTAAAATGAACGTAATAAAACATAGATTCTTATGACAATAAAGTTTATTCAAAATTACCTCCGTGATTTTGAATACAGTCCTTCAATCTGCGCGGCCTGTCGTCTATCGCAGCACGAACGAGGTCCATGTCAATATCGGCGGCTGTCTTAATCAAGGATGTCTTGAGTGACTCCCAATTGGGATGAGGCTTTGAGTACGCCTTTTCCTCCAAGTTTTGCCATATCTTGTAATCTAACGGACTCAAATCTGGACTGGAGGAGGGCCAGTCTTCGTGCCGGATGAAGTCGATTTCACACGCCGCCAGCCAGTCTTGTGTGCTCTTCACTCTATGAGCTGGCGCCGAATCTTGTTGGAATACCCAGTGCCTGCTATTGAACATGGTATGAGAAACAGGTTCCACAAGGTTCGTCAGGACTGTATTTTGATACACAACTGCATTCGTTTTTACACCTTTCTCACAAAAATGTACCTCTGTTAAGCCCCAATAAGAAACTCCCAACCATACCATGAGCGAGGATGGAAAATGACCTCGTTGGACACGCGGAATGCGGTTGCTCGCTTCTTCACTACTGTGTGCGTACACCTTATCATTTCGTTTGCTGTAGCTCTCTTCTACGGTAAAAATTTTTTCATCCGTAAAAAGAATTTCCCAATATTTTTTTCCCGCGTACCGCTTCAACAAAGCGCGGCATCTCTTCAGCCTCAGGTCCATTAGACGAGCATTCAAACGATGTCCTGTTTTTCTTCGATATGCCCGAAGCCCTAAGACTTCATTTAACACCCATTTCACCGTGGTTCTGCTTAACCCCATCTGAAGGGCCAACAGATTCTGTTTACGTTTGGGATTTCTTTGAATTCGCGCCTTCATAGCTTTTATCACTGCTGAAGTTTTAACAGACCGAGGGCGACCACTTCTTGACCTGTCATCTACACTAGAGTCTTCATTATTGTATCGTTTGATGGTACGATAAACGAATCTTTTAGTTATACATATTAAAATAGCATTCTAATAGAAAAGTTTTTACTGTGTACAATACTTATGACCTGACTATGTATATCATTCAAAATTTAACCTAAGTATATTTATTTTCTCAGACATTACTATTTCTCACTTTAACACATAAATAATATTTAATATCTTATAATTGATAGGGAGCTGGTGGCAATATGATATGATTTCATCCTCGTTGATTCCAATACGTAATGTTGTCTGGACCTATTTTTACTAGAAAAAGAGCTTGGTTGCTCTGTATTTTTTATTATTTCGAAACTGTAAAGCAAAAATTACGTTTTAAATTATATTACCTTTCTTTCATCAATAATATCTATTAAATACATTTTAAAGAAAGTGAAATTAAAGCTTGCACTAGTTGGGATTTTCATAAAAACTCGCACGTTTTTATTAAAATATTTTTAAGTTTTCATTGTTATAAAATCAGCAACACAGATTACTAATGCAACATCATCATAGTGGCAGAAGTATTTTTTTTATATTCTTCTACTATAATTTTAATAAATATTCTAGTCTAGTAATTATATATTTTAATAATAAAAATAATTTACTCTAGAACAGCAGGAAAAACTTCTGCTACTGGCATATTTTTTTTAATTTTAAATACAATGTACTAAGGCTATCGTTTACGACCTCAGTGGCCGAGTGGTTTGCTCGCCGGGTTTCATGGTGTTGCCGTCTCGAGAGGTCCTGGGATCGAATTCAGGCGGGGGCAGATTGTGATGAATACGAGCTCCTACTTTGTACTCCAGTCATGGATGTTTAATATGTATTTCTATATAAATATACTCTTACTTTGGGGCTAGACTAATTGGTGAGAGTGCTTGAAATATTAAATATATTATTATTTTATTTATTTATCGGTAGAAGCGATTATATCGTTTACGACACATAATCTTAGTAACATTTTTCGCAAGCTCCTATTTGATAGATAGATATAGATATTGCAGCAATTAGAAATGGCAGAAATTGATTATTTTTTTTTAATCTTTTAGAGTACTAAGTACTCTAATATTATCATCCGGCTCCCTAGTTATAACTAACTCGAAGATAGTTTAACAAAAATAATTCTAGATACCAATCGACTTTACTTATTTCTTATTCAATCAATTTCAGTTACGCAGTAAACTGAACGCTGAAAAGAGAGAAAGTAAAGAAGACAAGTCTACAGAATCTGTACCAGTTGATCTGCAGAAACCTAAAACTTTAGATTTCAGATCAAGAGGATCATTCACTCCGAGGAGTAGAAAAGTATCTTCTTTTTCTCCATCAACTTCTTCTGCACCCATTATAAACAGGACTACAGCAAACTCACAGTACAAGTTTAATAGAAAATTTAAAGTAACTACTACCGAATCACCAGAAAATGGAAACTCGACTAAGCCAAAGAGGACTGAAACGAATGCGTTATTGAAAAAATCTGCAAGGTCTTCCTTGTACTCGAGAAAATCTTTTACGAAGAAAAATGTAACAATTGAGAAAAATATTAAGGAAGCCCATCAAATAAACAATACCACCAGTTCGACCGAAGGTTCTCCCTTTATTAGAAGTGCTTTACCAAAAACATCTTACTATTCACGCTTACGAAATAAAAAAAATATTACGACATCAACCACATCTTCACCAGAATCTTCAACAGAATTTATTTCTAATCACAATGTAGAAACTAAGAAAAATGAAAATACTGCTGATATGCCATTAATATTTACTTTATTCAAAAGCTCTGATGGCACTAATAGTTCAAGTGAGAAAACACAAAAGTTGGATTCTGAAGAAAATAAAGATAAGGATATGTTCATTATTGCCGTATCCAGTAAAGAATCATTAGGAAAAAGTTCTTCCACTGAAGTTACAAATACAGCAGAAGAAAGCGGTAATAATCCTGTTTATAATACTATACCAACTACAATAAAATACCATTCAAATTACAAGGATTTCAGTTCCACTGCGTTACCTGATAGTAATGAAAATACGATCTCTTCAACTGTTACACCTGACAGAAATATTTCTACACGAAAGTACAACAGAAAATATTCAAAATTATCTGAGGAGGAGCCATATATCACAGTGCAAAACTCCAGAGAAAAAACATTAAGAAAATTCAGTGATTCATTCTCAAAAACAACTGAAGCTTCAACAAATGGGGTAAATATTTGAAACCGATCATTTAAATCTGTTTCATAGATATAGTTATTATTAAAAAAAGCTACTGAATTTGTACTTTTTCAGATTGCTGTTGAACCTGAAAAAAGCAGGAGCAGATTCAGTTCCAAATATCGTGCTCCACACGTAGATAAACCAATTTATAAGGCTACTGTACCCACAGTTACATCGTCAGCTGTAAGTAAAATGTATAACATACTGAATAATAAATAATATGTTTTGTATGTATCGAATAATACACCATATCCACACAAATATACACATATACAAAATACTTACTATTTATACATTTTTAGTAGATTTTATAGCAAAGCCCCTTTATGTAATTGGCGTTTAAATTGGAAGATAAAGTTAACAGTATTTTGTTTAAATAAGCTCGATTTAATAAAAAATTTTGCTCAATTTAAACACATTCACAATAACAAAATTTCATTTTGGTAGATTCTTTTAACACTTATTGTTTATATTGTTCATCAAATAATACAAAATATTAATGGTAAGTTTTTCATTGCTAAAGGCTTGGCTGAAATTCTACGTCACTGACCAACTGTTGACAAAGACTTTAGAAGAGCCTAATTGGTTCGAAGATGACGACATTTACGACGTCAAGACAGAATCGATGTCAAGACATACCACCGCGCCACCATTCATTCATGAATCATCATTAGAACTGGTTAATGGATTCACATAGTTTAACACGATATCATTTATCATTTCATTATTATCTTCTATTGTAAAATATATCATAATCTTTGTTTAGTTTTAAAGAGATGTTTCACATCTAAATTGCATTTAAATCATTAATATTTTAGAAACGTTCACATCTCTTTGGAACACCTCTGCAATTATTTAAAAATGCATTATTTATTTGTTTTGCGTTATTTTTTATAATTTTAACTCAAAAGTTAAGATTTATGTAGGTACTAATATATTAGTAATTTGTATAATAGCCGGACACTAACTTGAATTTAAGTAAGATATTAAATTGTATAAATTTTAATTACTTACTTGTTTTAATGAGTAGACATTCTTTATTCTTTCTTTTCATTTTATCATTCATTCTAACACCGATATCTTCCTTTCAATTTATATAAAGTGGCTTTGGTCTTTGCACAAACTTTCAATCACATCTTTAAGATTTCAATTACAGTTGATTCATCTTATTTTATTATCGTATACCGTATCACATTCGCAATATTTCAGTTAATATGGGTGAGACTACTCTTTATTTCAGGTAGAGGGAGAAGAAATTGACTTAGGGCCTGACATGAATGCTATCTCGTTTACTAAGACACGAAGTTCACTATCCTCAGCAGACTTGCGACTATCGGAGAGTCTAGTAAAACCGTCACACATCATGAACGTTGAAACTTTACATCACTCGCCATCAGTTACTGTGTCTATATTTGACGCGTTGGCTGAAATACTTACATCTACACCTCGAACCAGACTCTCTTCAACTACAGAAGTAACGCAAAAACAAAAAACTAAAAACGATGTAGCTCAAACATTCAACGGCGTGAGTAATAATAATGTAAATAGTGTCCGAGGCTCATTGAGTCAAGACATGTTGTCGGAAAGTGCTGATATAAACACAAGTGCTAAAACTGTACAGTCCACTGATAAGACTACACCTATTGTGATTAATCGTTTGTCGGTTGGGGAAGGTGTTACAACTTCACTAAATATTGATAATGAAAAAGTAGTTCCTGTGAATACGTTTCAGCCCATCCCTACTCCTACTCCTACTACTCCTGTTTCCGCAAGAAAGCCCTTTGCGTTCCGAGTATTGTATTCGGATACAGAATCTACGGTTGACAAATTTTCGACTACAACTGAACCTGCGTCAATACAGGCTTCGACTGACTCAACAATGGTATATAACACTGTATCTGATCTTTTGTTGTCAAATAACAATTTATTATCGTCTGAACTAACTGGCATGTTATCTAATAATATAATAAATATTATTCAAAATATGGATGAAAGTAGTAAATCTAGAATTACAATGGATATGGCTGAATTATTAAAGAAGCTTATTCCTAGGGCTCTTGACGGACTTATGACTGCAGTAAATGACGTAGATAGTATTCCAAGCACAACTCCCTATAGTTTGGAGGATATTAAAGATACCGAAAACATTAATGTCAATGGAATTAATAATGATGTCGTGTTAATTGATAATGTCCTCCAAAATGGGACAGTTGAAAATATTGTAAATAGCACTATAAATAGTAGTAGTATTAATGACAACTTTAATAAAGATGTTAATAGCACTGTTACTTTACTAACCTCTGTACCGAATAGTCAGACAACAATACTCGAATCAACTTTGATGACTACATCATCTAATTCAAATAGCCTAACGACACCACTTTTAATTGAAACTTCGACCTCAGCGTCTACTACGATGTTTTCTGACTATGTTGGTACAGGCGCTGTAGATGAAGTGGTTAAAATCCAAGGTAGAATTGGATTATCTTCAACTGATAATACTTTTGATTCCTCACGTATTCCTTTCCTCACCAATTTCCGAGCAGAGGATTTCACAACTAATAAACCACCAAGTACAGAACTTTCTAGGTCTGCGCCACTCTCTACTCTCGTCACTAAAGACGTATCTGTAAAAAGTTCTGTCGATACCGATATCAATGATCCTAACCAAGTTTCTAAGTTCCAATTATGGGTATTATCTAAAAAAGCTAGGGTTCTCAATATGATTGAAGACATAATACGACAGCATAACGATGAATTAGCGACTGCTCAACCTTTGACTGACATATTTAGCCAATCAAGTAATATTCCTCTTTCTAACCGTTTGACAAAAATAATAAATAACATGGGATTTACGACAGAAACTATAACTTCAAATGAAGAGATTGACTCGACTTCTTCGACTGCTCCTAATACTCTTCTACCTTTATCTATTCCTAAAACAACCGGATTTACTAGCTCCTTGGATGGAAGTACTAGTAATCAATTGTCAGCTACTGATATAACGACAGTACCTGCTGAAGTACTGCCATTGACACTGCCAGAGTCTGATATCACGCAAAGATCTGATAATACTGAAGTAAATATTTTACAAATATCTAGTCCATCAACTGAGGCGACAGAGCGAGAAAATTCAAAAATAACCACAGAACAAACTTTTGACATTTTCAATAGAAATCAAGGGGGCATCGATTTAACTACTGTCACAACAACAACTATTGAAGGTAATACTGAAACAACCACAGAAGCTGTAGGCACTGAAACTACAACTGAAACTGATTCAGATATGACTACGCAAACAGTGTTTGAAACTACGATGACTGCAAATAATGTTACCGAACAGGACATCAAATTATCTGTTAGTCCTGAAGTGATCGCACTACAACCAATGATCCCTAAAAAAGATTACGTAATTTTTGGAATCTTACCTAATAATACTGTGGTACGTAAAGATCCCAATGATAATGTGCTGGAATCATTAACCGAAGCAAGTCCTTACATCGTTTATGGTGTTTTACCCAATAACACAGTCATACGCAAATTCCCGAATGGGACCAGAGTACCACGAGTAATGCAAAAAATTGACATACTACCAATCAGTCCATGGAGTTTGAAAAATCCATATAGTCCTATCCATAATAATCCAGCTATTGTCAGACCGCAGCCTAACCTAACTCGAGTATCCTCTAACATCGTGACATCCACAGACGCATCAAATAACGGAACAGAAAATCGTTTAACCTCCGACACTGTAAATAACCTACAAATAATGGTATTGACTTTAAGTTGTTTAGCTTGAAAGCTGTGCTTGGGGCTTCGTTTTCACTAGCAGCCGCATTTAGAGCAAGAACTGCGCATGGAAGGGCGTCTACGGTTTTCTCGTAAGCTCTGCATGCCTATTGCACGTCATGCTTCGTAATAATAATAACGCAAAGGCATAACATTTTATTTCAATATTGCAGATTCCTCCATCGGCACTTAATATTAAAGATAGCGGTTCATTTGGTATAACAACCGCCACAAATAGGCCGCCTGCTGAAAAAAGCACTGCCTCGCATGTCTTGAGTTTACGCACAACTACAATGCTACCGTCAATTGATGAAATTCTGCTTAATAGTATATCTTCAGCTGCTAAAGAGGAAATGGTAATACCATCAATGACGAGCTCTACTATTGAACCAAGAATATTAACACTGGATATCGATCCGGAGGTATATGAATTATTACAGACGGTTCCTTTATTCAATTTCTTTCGATATGCACATTATAATGACACATTGGTATTATTTATCATAAACTAAGCCTATCATAGCATAACTTAATTAATATTTCATAAAAGCGTAAACTTTGCTTGACGGGTTATTAACATCTTAGTAGATTTAGATTTGGGAGGTAAGTGGTGCTGGCTAAAACATTGTAGTATCTTTATGTAATAGACTTAATCAAAGTTATGTTATATGAAAAATATTAATAATATTTTGAAAAATTTACAGACAAAGGAAATTCGGACAGAAAAACCTGGTGATGGGAATGGTAATGCAGTATTTAAATTCATCCCAATAGACGAAGTCACAATTGCACCACAAAACACAAATGTATTAAAGTTAGCATCAACGAAAGCACCTTCGTCCAATTCAGAAAAGATTGATATAACGACTGTAGTAACTCAAGCTAATACAGAAATACCACAGATACAGTCGCGCCTGAAAATGTCTGATATTACGACAACGTCATTTTCTGAGTTGGATAGATCTACAGGTTCTACGGTCGTAACAATGACAGAGTCAGTAGCAACGACAGAATCATTTTCCCCAGCCACTATGTCGACAGTCTTAAGCGAACAAACAACAGCAGTACCATCAACGACTTTAGCACAAACAACAACGACTAGTACAACAACTGAGAGTACTAGTACAACTACGGAAAGTACTACAACAAGTACAACGACACCTAGTACTACAAGTACTACAACAACTACTACTACAACTACAACGACACCTAGTACCACTACAAGTACGACAACTCCAAGTACTACGACAAGTTCAACAACCCAGCAATCCATTATGACTACCACACAAGCTCCGATAACAGTACCGTCAACTACTCAAACAAATATTTTTGCATCGACAACCGGCCCTACATTATCCACGGAAGAAGAAAACCAATTTCAAAAAGATGCTCAGTTTCTCCAGGAGTTATTACGCGGTACGGTTACACGCAATCCTAAAAATTTAGATATTATATTGAGTACGTACACAACCACTGTCACACCAACAACAGCAGTACCAAGAACAGTTCAGCGTCTCGATGAAGCCAAATTACTCCAAGCTTTATTAGGGGCGACAGGACAGAATGCTAACACTTTATCCACATTAAGTGATAGTGTTAAAATCACAAGTAGAATACAAACTACTACACCACGCTCAATAGAGGATGACATCAAGCAGTTCGAAGAAGATACAAAATTATTAAAGGCTCTATTGCAGGCCACAGGACAGAATCCTGCAAATTTTAACATACCAACATTAAACATTAAAACTCCTACAGTCCCTAAAGCTACAACTTCTATACCTAGAACGACAACAACGACAACGACAACCACAACGACCACGACAACACCGAGAACTACTACAACTACGCCTACTACTACAACACAATCAATCGATGAAGATATAAGAAAACTGCAGGAAGACACAAAGCTATTACAGGCTTTGCTACAAGCTACAGGGCAAAATAAAAACAGTTTGAATATTCCAGTTATATCTGGTGTTACTTCTAATGTGAGGATAGCATCAAATCCACTTACTACTTCACTTGGTTCTAATCCAACAACACCCGTCAATGTTAGACCGGTATACAAATCAAGAACTACAACACCGGTCACACCAACTTTCACATTCACTCCGAGAAATATTTTTAGTACTGTACAAACTACTTCATTCCCAGAAAATTTTGGGATTTCAACTACGTTTACGCCTTTCAATCAGGGAAGGAGAGTGCCAAGTAAGACAACAAATATTGAATCGGCTACCATATCAAGTGGACGTGGAGCACCTGATTCAAGAGTAACGGTTACAACTGAAATGCCAAGCACGTCGACATTCTCAGTGGAAGAGGATTTAGCTTTCTTGAAAAACTTGGTAGGTGGTTCACATTATCTATTTATTAACTATGATACTACTTACTGTGATTATTTGTTTATAAAAACTACATAGTGTATAGAATTTAAAATCATAATAAGTATTTTCATATATAAATCTACTTACTTATAGTAATTAAATTACCTTAGACGCTTAGAAAAGACTCCATCCAAATAATACTATTCTGTGGTGTTGTGTTTCTGCAATGAGTTAGGGTGCCAGAGCGTCACGAATAAGGACATCTGGATTTAGGCTGGCAAAAGCTCCTTAGCTATTTCCACAACTGGGCTCCACTTTAATATAACATCACGTGAGATAGAGAGACCTATAATACCATCAAAAATAATCTTGGTGTATTATGATTATAAAAGTATTCTCATTATTTATGCATAAATCTTTTTAATATTTCTGTTTCACAGAAAACCGTCTTGAAGACAAACACAAATAACGAAGATCCCGAAGCAGCCCTTGCGAACCGAATTATAGCTTTAGCCGTCGAAAGAAGTTTAAATGAAATCCAGTCCCAACCAGAGTCGGAACGCAGTGGAAAAAAGATTTCAAATAATGTTATTAATAATGTTATTCCTCTCACAATTACTACAACGATGACAGCACGCCCTACAACTACTACACGCCCAACGACTACTACAACACGTTCGACGACCACTACAACTCGTCCTACGACAACTACAACTAGTCCTACGACAACAACAACTCGTCGTATCACCACTACAATACTTCCAACAACTTTTATTCCTACAACGACTAAAAAAACTGGAATTCTGTCGATAGAGGATGATATAAAACAATTCCAAGAAGACACAAAACTATTACAAGCTTTATTGCAAGCCACAGGGCAGGATCCATCTAAGTTCAATATACCAACACTACCTCCACTTAACACCAACACTCAAGTGAGTGCCAAGCTACCTTTTAACTACGTTTACGCCTTTCAAGCCTTTACGCCTTTTAGAAATACTAGTGATTTTAAATTTCTTTCAAACCTTCCACAACCTTCTGTACTTAAAAATATTCCAATCAAACAGACTTTGACCGTGACAACAACCGTTACACCGTTTGGTGCTAAAATTATTGCTAAAGATAAAGGTGGTGAGAAATTGCTAAAAACTTTGATAAAATTACAGGATGCCAAGGTACCGACGACACAGAAAAACAAACTTCCGTTAACAGGTAATGTGTATGTTGAAAATTTCACATAGCAAAAGTCTTTTCAAAAGCACTATGAAAAAGAAACTCAAGTGCTAAGCTTAACTAATATAAATAAATAGAAGAAAGTTATTTCTAGTTTTTTTTTCATTTATTGTAATAATCGCAATATTTTTATATTTCTAATCTGTTATGTTGATTTACCCCCTTGGAACATGTACGTGTGTTTGTTATGTATTAATATAATGTTGTTTAACTAAGTCGAGAATTAAAGAAAGTATACATATGTGTATAATTAATAATATCAGAACAGTATATAATGTATTCTCAATTTTCAGGACAAACTTCTGATGAGGTTTTAAAAAAGCTCCTGCAAAACCAGCAAAACTCGAAACCGTCTAGTATGTTGTCTCAAGCAACGCAGGCGCCTATGTCTCTTAGCACAGAATTCGGAAAGAGCAACGATGCATTGCTGGCAGCATTGCTGAAGGAGCAAGGTTTCGGGCCAACTACGGCAAGTTCTTTGGATGAACAACTACGACTTTCTGTTAGTTTCTAACTTTTTTCATTTTCTTTAACACACAATATTCTTATTTAATTCCATCTAAATCTTCTGTATTTATACCAACATTAACATTATTTTCCATTTCACTACAGAACTATATTTTTATATTTAATGAACTAATATTTAACGGCGCATCGCGCCGACATATTTAATTCTAATATTTCTATTTCATGTGTAACAAGTAATCAATGCTCACTAATTATAACCTCGTAGGCTTTACTCAACCAAGTGGTAGTGACTCCAAAAGCGAGGCGGACGACGACGCCCCCTCCCCCTCCTCCACCTCCGAGAAGACCAATCCTGGATGGAATTGCCTGGTTGTGGCAACAGTGGAGGGAAACCGCCCCTAGCCCTACTGCACGGCCTAGCAGAAAGCCCAGTCCTTCTGCCAGCCCTGCGGTGGCTTCCTCAGCGGCTACTAGCAATCGAGTCAACTGGTTTGGGTCTGGTCCTTTCGTCGGTAACGCTGATGAACAGCCAACGTCCAACCGAGTGGGTTTTACCTCACTATTACTTAAATTATGCGATTGGGGTTCGGTTTCAGGTGGCTGGGACAGATCTTAGATTAAATACACAACAGTTACAGACCTCTTTTGTTTGAGTGATATGAACTTTCTAGTTAGTCGTTCCTATTTAATCTAAGTCTGAATTTTTGTAATATGGGAAGGTTGGGAGGGCTGTAAATAAATTTTAGTTTAATAGAGTAGATTTATTGATGAAAAAAAATGTAATAATGAATCTCTTTAGTGTCAATTTTATACTTTTTCAGTTGTTTTTTTATATAATAATTTAAATTGATTATTTATTAAACTTCTGCTTTACCGGCTTGTATATAAACATTTCGCTACCGCAAAGCGTTTGTATAATAAATAATTTGCGCTGATGTGTAATTGTTTTGTTGTACCTAATGTTATTTATTTGTGTGTTCTAATTATCCCGGTACACTGAGGCGAGATATTACGTGCTCATACTATTGTAAGTTTATGGCATGTGATACCTTGTTTGTATTTGTAGAAGATCCTTGTCCACATTAATGTTCTTAGCAGTGACCATTCCTTTAATATTTTTTGCAAATTGGTTCGGTTTTGGGTAAAAATCGTAGTCGTGTTAAAATTCCTATGCACTGAAATGAAACTGTGGAGTCAAAAGGTTATAATTGTCAATACTGCGCTTTTAGTTTTACTTTTTGATTTAATAAGCTATTTAGATTTGGTATTTTGAATTATGTGTACTAGTATTTACAATATTTTTTTAAGTCACTGCGATTACAATTGAAACAATTTGATTCCTGGTTATTATTGAAACGGGTATTTAAATATAGTGAATCGTGTTGTAAATAAGTTGTGTTACGAGTTTTTAATTGATTGGTGAGTAAAAACAATGTTTGTACATAACGATTTGAATCATACATTTTTCGTTTAAACATCCATATCTTTTGCTGTTGCAACTAAAAAGCTTGTTCATCGAAAAAAAAAACATATAAATTGAATCTAATACTTAATAGAGTAGAAAAATAATAGATTGAAAAATGAATTATACTGCAACATAAAATTAACAAGCAAAGAAAAATAATTAAATAAAACGACGGTTTTAACTTTATATTTCCAAACCGTATGTTTAAACTTGAAATATCTTATTTTGTAAATATTTATATAAATATGTATATTTTGAGCACTTATTCACTTTTCACTATAAACCTTATACTATCTTCATTTCTCACCAAAACAGTGTATTTGTACAGGGGATTTGTAAATAAATGTCATTACAAAATGGTCATTAACTTAGTTGCCATTTTGATTTCGTACATTGTCATCCTTAGTACTATTTTGATGGTCATCAGTTCTACTATGAAGTTCTTTATTAAAAACGTATTGAGTAAATATTAAAAAGTTAGACCATCGAAACAGTTACTTATCGCACGCAGCTTCTGCACTATCACTGAATCACGTTTTGCATATTCTACAGTTATTTCTTTGTCTATGACTTCATGACTATCAATGTTTAGGGTTATCTGGTTCTCTTTCACTATTTAACCGATCATGGCAGGTTCCTCTGGATCCTCCTAGAGCAGTGACGTCACAGCAAACTCCAGGCAGTGGGCAACTCGTTTCCGCAGCCATCAACGTCACTAGAGCATTCTCTCAGTTTTTAGGAGCTGCAATACAAGTACGTAAATCTGTAACCGAATCTATGAAATATCTTTTTGTTTTCAATTAGTTTATGTTTACATGTATGTTTCAAAATTTTCAGGATTTTTTTCATTGGCCGTTTTGGAATTGATATGTATTTTTTTTTCTAATTTTGCAGCAACTTGATTTCATAACTATCATCAATGCTAAAATAATTCTATCATTAACATGAATAACATAGTTTTAATTTCAACTTTCAATAAACGGCAGTTTAAATATCATTAGTCGAAAAATTAAAATATGGTAGTGAAATATTTAACAGAAGTAAAAAACTTAATATTCATTTGATTGCGATGTTTATTGGGTAAATTAAGTTTGCTTTTCAAATTCAAATTCTTCCTAGTTCAAAGTCACCCGAAAATCATATTGTATACACTAAAACTTTATTAGTTCTATTTGTCAATGTTTTAAATTCACAAATTTATTCGAAATATATATTTGAAGTAGTAGCATATATTGAAAGAAAGCTTTGAAGGACTATTTAATGATCCATCATGGATCTTGCCCATGAATCTTCTGCGACTGAACCGTATTCCATTTTAATTTCAGGGTGCAGCCCAAACCGTGCAGAATGTGATCCGGGCAGGTCAGCGCGCGGCCACGGATGTCTACGTCAGCGGTTCTGGGGGATCTGGGTAGAAATCTGAAAAGATTTCGGACAGAGCCTAGCAAAGTAAAGTAGCTAATTTAGATGGACTACAAGCGTCCAAAAAAGCCTAAAAAACACAACTTAAAGCAAAAATTGTCTAAGTTTCATGGTAACGATAAAAAAATACCGTCACTTATTAACTAATCACGATAATGAAAAAGTTTCTGTACCTTTATAATTTACTTCTAGTAGATACTAGATAACGAGAGTTCAAATTATGGTTAGATGTGAAATAAATAAGCGATAACTTCTCATAGCGATAGAACATTGAAGCATACATTTATATTCATTTATCTTTAATAACATAGTTAGTCAAATATCATCAAGATCGGTTAAGTAGTTTCAGAATTCACCTTGAATTTACCTACACTACAAAGATCATAGTATGAGATTTCACGCTATAAGAAGATTAAAAGGGCAATGTTAATTCATTTTGGTCAATAATTCAGTATTGATTAATCTTCTTCTTTGAATGTCTTAATTAGGAAATCGTTCATTTATTTATACAGTGTCACATGTATGTTGTTTTGTATCATAGTTTGTTACCTTACCGTTTAAACCTAATGCTGTCTCTGTCTTCTTTTGAGCAAACAAAAGTGATAGCACCAGGTTTAAGCCAGGTTTTACTTTAGTCAAGGTTTTGTAATATTCGGTTAATGTTCTATCAATATGACAGTGTTGTGTTTAACGAAAATAAGATAGCTAGTTAATATATTTAAGTACTCACTTTAGCTAGCTTTCTTTCGTGAGCAAATAATAAGCGAAACAATGTGTTATCACGAAACATGATAAGATTTATTTTTTGGGTTGTGTTTTAATGGACTCGAAAACTTTTGCGAAAGTGTCATAGTACGCACTATGTGTTGACAGTGCTCAAATGTATAATGTACATAATAAAGATAGTTGATTGCGAAGCAGCTGCTTCAATTGCCTCTGGAAGGCAAATAGTTAAGAGAGATCAGTGTAAGTTAAGTTTTAAAAATAACTAAACGTCCTGTGAATATTTTTCGATGATGCTACATAGTAAAGTTATAAAAGTATCTTTTAAACTAAATAAAAGCATTGTAGATATAGCACTGTGATTTTAGCACTACATTATTGAGTGGTTATTTACATTGTTTTTCTTTTTATTAGAAAAATATATAGAATATTTAAAGAAAACAAAATTTGGGTGCACGACAGAGGTCGTATTCTTGAATCAATCCTATATCGAGCGACTTTGTAATTTTATCTTGTCTATTTTTTTAATGAAGTTTTTCGTTATTCTAATTCAAATTATCGACTCGACGCTAATTGAATGGCAACATTGTAGCAATTTGTTAGAAGTAGAAAAAATGTGAATATACAAGAGCTGTCGATGAACATTTAATACCAATTTTATACGTATCAATTATAAATATATACGATGATCTAAGAAAAATCTATAATAACAAAGTTTATTAGCACCTATGTATTTGTATTTACATAATTATTTATGCGAGTTGTACTAAGTCTGACTGTGAACATACTTTCTACCATACAAATGCTTTACTTATATCATAATGCTATAATACCAATTGACTTATTTGACGTAGTTATTGTAAATGAATACTAGTTAAATAAGAACTTAGAGTAAGTTCATCTGTAATCTTAAGTCTACATGTGCCATCGATGCACGTGCACGGCGTTCCCTTGAACCAATTTGATTTAATTTATTTATTTATGTCAGATTTCCAGAGCTGAAAAATATTTCCTTAAAATGTTTAGCTGTTATAATTTTTTGGGAGACGAATTTTATTGTAAATTTAAAACACTAAGTTGACGAAGGAAGGCCATATTGTAGTCCTTTTATTCATTATTTTATTTAATATTGCAAGAACAGGCAAATTTATAATTATTTTGTCATTTTTATACCACGAAAAAAGATTCCTAGTCAATAATACACTTTAAGTGTGAGACTGGTTTTTAAGACGAAATTATAAAAACAAAATGATCTTGATATTTGAGTTAATAGAAAATAAATATAAACTATGAAAATATAGCAGCAATTAAGGAAATATTTTTAGCGCGTACAAACTTCCCACAAAAGTTTTTTATTATTCATATGTCGTTACTCTCCATTATTTCCACTTAGTTACATGCTTTCCACTTAGTTTAACTAATTAACCATAAGTTACTATAAACTATTGCTTGAGCATGTTTAGTGAGTACTGTAATTTACCATTGCTATTTATTACTAGATTTAAATCATTTTAGCCCTTGGATTAAAACAAAAAGGGTAGATAAGGTACTCTCATACTTGCATCAAACAAAAACTGACCCTACGGCAGCGCGAACGGGACGGCGAGATCCGCGTCACTGCATTACCAACCCGAACGAAACAGCACGTTAAGTTTCAACGGCAGCGCGAACGAGACGGCGAGATCCGCGTCACTGCACTACCGACCAATCACGCGACCAGTACTCGACGTCACTACCGAATAAGATTCAATACAAACAGCATTTTTTATGAAAAAATATATTTTATAGTACTTACGAATGAAAAGTGATGCCGTGGGTTTTATTTTTAGTTCTTGAGCAATTTGAGCACTTTTTAAAAACACACAGGCATTGTTTTATCATATAAACACAAAATATTAGCATTCTTTTTGGCGTTCACATGTACGTCGTTTGCATTTCAAGTTGTGACTAAAGCGATTAGGGTCGTGGACCACAATTCATGCGGATCACTTTTGTGAGGCTAGTGCCGTATCTACCCTTTTTGTTTTAATCTAAGTTCACTTAATAGGTGAGAGTTGCCTATTTTAAGATAACTATCTTCTACTACCTCTATTATTAAGCTTTTTGTATTTAAAATGCGATTAGTCAGAAACATTTTTTTCCATTATTCTGTTGTTGTATGGGGGAAGAGAAACGTATAAAGACTACAATAAAAAAAATATGTAAATGAGAATTGTTTCTTTTATTTAAGAATGTTTGTATAATTTCCCGTCAAAAAAATTTCCCATTCAGGTGATTAGATGTAGATTCTTCAATACAAAATATGGTGTGATTGAATAAAAAATTAAGCATTAAAATATTCAGTGTCAATTAAAGTTCTTTTGAGAATTTTCTAAATTCTGTCTGACAAAGTCGCGGGCAAAGCCTACCTTGAAAAGGTAATATTAACCATAAAGTTGTGAGTTGCTGAACGAACTGCAATTTAATTCTAATTTAAATTAATTGGGCTAAAAATATTATAAAATTTTGTTTCTTACACAATCACAAAAAAATACTAAACAGATTTGATTAGTTATTATCTAATTTAGGATAACAGGAAAATATGCTAACATCCCGTGGGATTAAAAAAACTGTAACTGCAAGTATTCCAGTCCAGGAAATGAAGCATTTTGGCTCGCAATTTTTTCGTCCACCATAGATTTACTTATTTATTAAGAATTATTTTCTATATCATGCCGCTATACGCTAGAGCCTTGGGGGTGGTTGCCGCCCCATCTCGGGGGTGAATTTTTCGAAGAAAAAAGTAATTCTAAGAAGAAAATGTTATAAAGGTATTTTTCGTAATACTTATATTTTTTGAGTTATAAATGTTGAAAGTAACAGATTTTTGACGAAAAGATCGACTTTTTTAAATGGTTTTTTGCGAATAACCTCAAAAATATGCATTTTATCAAAAAAAGTGTAGAGAGTCAAATTGTAGCCTTTAAAAAAACGAAAACAATGCCTTTTTTATAAATTTTCAATGACAAAGATTAACTTAGATACAGCAAATTAATGCTTAGCTTTTTTCGTCAAATGCATAAATTGGAAGATTTACAGCGAAATAACGAGAAAAATTTGCATTATTCGAAGAAAGCTCAAAGAATCTTTTTTAAAGTTTTTAATTAGAGATTTCAAACAAATAAAAAACAATGTCTCTAGCGTGAAAATTGACCGACTTATGATCAAAATAACATCGATACCCGCTTTTTTCTACGAAAAAAATCTGTGAAAACAATCCCCTAATTAAATTGATCGCCACCCTTATGTAATTCTCTTTATATAATATATACTATTAATACACCCACGAAGCTTGACCAATTTAAAATGCCAAATTTTAGAAAAATTGGAGTTTAAAGAGAAAACGGATTTTTTTTAATTTCATCTTTTTCACCATTTTCTTAAAAATATCTCCCAAAATACTAAAGACACGAAAACAATATAGTACTAAATTGTAGCTTTTTTAATAAAAAAATATCCCTGTGTGCATATTTTTGTACAGTGAATATTCGGAAAGATATAGCCGTTTAACACCTACATTTACGATCGAACATCACCTTATTCAAGCGCTTTAAACTCTCCCCATTTAAAAATTAAAGGATCTTAAGTAATTTAATTCACAAAGACTTATAGCTCCTGCAAAGCTCTACAAAATCGTTACTGAAAAATATTTTGTATCACCTAAAATGAAGGAGCTATGCTTAAAAACCTATAAATTTTTTTTTCAAAAAAATAATTCACTGTTTTTAAATGTAGTTTTTAACATGGGTAGGTTGATTATCAAAATTGTATCCTAAAGCATGAAACAATCAATTTTTAACTATTTTTACCCATGTTTTTATTTATTTTTAAAGCATTTAACTGCTAGATGTTTAAAAGCTAAAGAAAAGTTTTACTAGAAAAAAAAAACGTTTTTAATATTTTTACCCATATTTAGGTCTTTAATTTTAATTTTTGATAATAATAAGTAAGTAGTAGGGTAGTTTTCACAATAGGGTAGTACAACGGCACAATATAGAAAATGAACTAGAGGGTGAAATAAGCCTTTTGTACAAATCGGTGCTGGACGAAAAATATGCGAGGTTTTACCATTTTCTTAGCTTCATTTCCTGGACTATAATAAAATATGTTCGCGTACATTACGTCAGACCACCGCGGGTCGGCGCAAAAATCCACTGAAATCGCTCTTATTTATTCCACAAAAAACATTTTCGTTTATAATGTTGCCAAGACGAGACCATATAACTGTCACTGTCAAAAGTTATCACATCTCATGTAGAGCTTCTAACTTTCACGCCCTAACTCTACAATACCTAACTTTATAAACTCGCTACTTATACGAGCATTTGGCTACGGAACCCTAATAAGAGTGACTGATTAGTTCCTGTTTAATGTTTGCAGTATACTTAAATCATCTACGCATTGAATAAATAAAACTCAACAGGCGTTGCAATGATTTTGCTTCAAATTAAGATATGCGCGTTCTTTTTGAGTTCTGCGAAGCTGATTTCCCTTTCAGCTATAATATGGCGGTCTCCAAAAGTCGGGTAAATCTTTTCCTTCAGAGCTGGCAACGTATGAGCCACTTTATCTCAGGTGGACCTGTCAGCTCGTTTTCTGCATAAACACAGAAAATATGTCATTATCTAATTTGATAAAAATTACAAAACATTAAACTTAAGTGCAACGGGGTGTTATATATTCATAAGAATACTAGCTTTTACCGTGTCTAGAGAAGTCGACATGCCGTTCAATTTAATGAGATTGTGAATGTCATTTAAAACTCATAAAGGAACTTAATCATTTTACTTTATTTAAATGCAATAAGAATCATAATAATGCATACGATATTGCGTCTTAATTTTATAGTACAATGTAGTATTTTTTGCCCTTGGCCTCGACTTTCATACAGACAGAATAAAATGCCAGACAAACAGTTTTTTTGTTGTAACAGAACAATGAATTATTCTATAAATAGCCTCGCATTCAATAGGCTTTTATATTTACTAATGCAAATGGCACGCTCAGTAATATAAACTAAATTTAACATTGAACGCAATACACATAAAAATAAAAAAGATCGATCTTCTGCTTTAAAGGTCCAGGGTTCGAATACCTTCAGGGGTATATATTTGTCTCATGATGAAAAATATTTTTTCTTAACAGAACAAATATTTGATTTGATATGACCTCACGGTCATGGTTGCGTATTTAAGATAATTATTAAGTATTAAATAAATAAAAACTTTGCTGGGTCTTGAAACTAAATAAGTAATTGTTCTAGATTTCATATATTTACTAGTGGCCGCTCGTGACTTCATCTGCCTTATCATTAGTTTTTTTCCAAAATCTCACAGGAACCTAACATTTTATCTAGGTCATAAACAATATGCGTACATTTGATCCAAAGCCGTTTTGTAGTTTTAAAATTGAAAATGTTTTTTCGTTCACTCCAGTAGGCCCCCATTTTCGCTGAAAGTGCGACTCGACCGTGATCCCCGAGGTTTAGGGCCACGAAGACGTATGAGAGCTGAAAAGACGCGGAATTTGAAGGGCTTTAAGAAAATTATTTTGAAAAAGTCTAAAACTTTATTGGAAATTGAAATTGAGAACGGGGCCGAATTTTAAAAATCAGAAAAAAGGCACATTGGAATTGAACCAAGGAACATTTTAGGTCAATACACTTGTTTCGATATTGGTGACGGTTGAGGCTGTAGAGGTGCCCTTAGCCGCGAGTTTTGCGCGGCGTGAGCAGGTATATCACGCGGCGGACGGCTTGCGTGCGGCTTTAAGATGATGTAAAAATCTTTTGGAAAAGTTGGTTTTTATTTTTTATTGTTTTCGAACAATCTGTAATAGGTAGATTCATTTTCAATACCCTTTCAAGTCGTGTAGACCACGAGCTCTATGATTTTTTCGCGTGATTGAGTAACAAACATAAGTAACTAACAAACTCTCACATTTATATTTTAGTGGAAAATAGGACGTGATGGGTTCTAAATCTACACCGTGAATTATGAGTTACCTAAGAAACTTAAAAAAATGTGTAAATAAAAATTGTGCGATAACTTATAAACAGTAAACTTACACACCCGATACAAAAATATTGATTTATAACGTTAACAAAATATCCTAAAACGGCGTAATCGTTGTTTGTTGTCGCCGTCTTCGCTGCTTGGAAGATCCCTCCTTCTCCATTCTGAGGGTACACGTCGACTCTTGTCCCCTGGCCAGAGTCTACATGTGCCTCTACAGATTCCATACCGGCAATGTTGAGATAACTCGACTTTTCAAACTCCTTAGTCGGGCAGCTGATGAAGCGCAGGAACAATTTCCCAGGAGTTTCAAGCTCAACACAATTTGTGGTTTAGTTCCTCCAAAACTAAATACTATATTCCTCATTCTAATATCATCAGTAAGCGACATATCGAGCTTGGATCAGAGGCCACTCTCCTAAGGATCCCGAGGTCGATTTAATAAAAGCAACCTACAATTTTGCTTCCAAGGCCGTTAAGAAGGAGAGTGGATGCCCAGCGCGTTGCACGTGTTGGTCACGAATATATAACGCATCCTACGGGCTCCCGTAGCTATTGGCGTTCGGCCAAGGCCATGCAGAAGAACTTTTGCCAGCCCTCACTGCCACCTCTGAGATGCCTAGATTCAACACTAGCTTATAAGCCACAGGAGAAAGCCGATTTACCGGCAAATACCGGCTCTTTGCGGATAACTCCCGAATATATGATTGCATTGTACTGCCACCATCATTACCTCAGTGGCACAACGATGCCTGAGGTGAGGTTCGTGCCGAACATAACAACGTGTTGGCAGATTGTAACGTCCGGAAAGATAGTGGACCTGATGGCATTCCAGCAGTAGTACTGAAAAAATGTGCAGCGGAGTTGTCTCCCGTGCTCACGCTCTTGTACCAATGCTCGTATTCTTTGGGGCGTGTGTCGGAGGCTTGGAGAGATGCTAATGTGCATCCGGTGCCATAAAAAGGGGATCGCTCAGACCCGGCATACTACCGGCCAATAGCAGTCACCTCAGTATTATGTAAAGTCCTAGAAAAGGTCGGTAGAAAAGTATTATGTAAACCACCTGACCCGCTACCTAGAGGATCACTCCCTGATTAATGATCGTGAATATGGTTTTAGACCGAAACGATCGACGGGTGATCTTCTAGTGTACTTGACT